TGTTAGCTGCCCAATAGTACAATCGAAAATTGGGTAATGCTAGCCCACCGTTTAGCTTGGACTTCTGTAAGTGTGTTCTGGAAACCCGGGGGCGTTTACCTTTCCATGTATAGGAACTAATTATAGAATCTAAAGTGTCGAAGAAGGACTTTGGGATGAAGACTGGAACTGATTGGAAGAGGTACAGAAATTTAGGGAGGATGTTCATTTTCACAGAGTTAACCCGCCCAATGAAGGTGATGGATAGAGGTGACCATTTTGATAGATTTTGCTTGATCTGATTTAAAAGTAAGAGGAGGTTTTCTTTAAACAATAGTTTATGCTTCCTTGTGACAGGAACTCCCAGGTAGGTGAAACTGTCCCTTGTTAGTTTGAAAGGGAAAAGAGAAAAATCTGAATGAAGTGCTTTCTCATTTATAGGAAATAGTTCACTTTTATGCAAATTTAATTTGTAGAGCAGAAAAGGCCAAAAATAAATCTTTAAAAAAAGAATACAGGCCCCGGTCCCCGGCTTTGTCTTTTAACATGCTTTGTCACTCTTGAACATCAAGTCTGCTGAACATCACTCGACATCACATGGATGGTGAGGTGAGGTCTGTTGTATAACCCAGGAAGGGATTGTAGTTGCACTTTTCTTGTGAACAACATCGATTAACGCTATAACTGCTTTCCACAAAAGACTGTCTAAAATGGTCACTGTTCTCGCCATATTTAAATAATTTTGCATCATCTTTTTCTAAAAAGGTCAGACATTTTGGATTTATAAGAACACATTAAACAAACTAGTTCTGTTCGCACACAACTTGAGGCATAGAGTGAGTGTAGTCCTGCAGTTGGTTGTTTTCTTTAAACAGGGATTTACATCAAGTGAATTATAAAGCACTGTTCCATCTTGAAATGCTGCGACAGTCACAGGCAACTCTTGAGGTGTGTTGGAGTCCACTCAGTTATCTTTTCTCTGTCCTCACCCAGAATCAACCACTATCAACAGAGACTCCAGTCTCTCTACTTCAAAAAAAAGTTTGCTGAAAGAGTGGCTGAAGTCAAACCTAAAATCAAAGGTACGCTTTGCTATCCCAAATGGCCATAAATACAAGAATTTTATTTATTTTTTCACACCTGCTGAGGATGTTGTGAGACATTAGATACAACAGTGTGTACTTGTATAATATCTGAGAACCTTTATGTCTCTGTGGTTTCAGCTCTGTGTCTTGCATCCAAGGAGGTGGTACAGAGTGGGACATTGCGTCAACTTCTTGAGGTGGTTCTGGCCTTTGGGAACTACATGAACAAAGGACAACGAGCAAATGCTTATGGATTTAAAGTGTCCAGTCTCAACAAGATTGCTGACACCAAATCAAGCAATGACAAGTACAGTTCACTAGAAAACTTTGTGGATCTGGGATTTTCACAGAAGAGATTTTGACATGTGACAGGAGGAAACGCACATGTGTGAATAATATAGTGTTGAATTTATTTGATGGTCCTGCTGTTCTGCATGCTGGCTTGCTTGGCCTGTTGCAGCATACTGGGGCACTTGAACAGAACTATTGTTAATTTCCTATCTCCTAGATTCAAGATGTAATTACTCGTGTAGTGGCGCCGTCCTGGGCAGCACTCAGCCAGTGTTACTCTTCAAAAATTTTCTTTTGGAATGAAGAAAGTTCTATCTTATGCCATCTTAATTTGGTTTTGGCTATTTTGACTAAAAGCACAGCAAACTGACAAATTATTGTTAAATGTATGTGGTGTGTTTGCAGAAACATCACTCTACTCCACTACATAGTCGTCGTGCTGGAAAAGAAGTACCCGAAGGTGGCAGCTTTCAGTGAAGAGCTACAGAACGTGGCAGAGGCTTCAAAAGTCAAGTAAGAAGGAAAAGACATACATTCATGTCCATGAAAGACATTCAACTCTGTCACAACACTTTTTGTTTAGTTTTTTCTTATATTTATAGATGGGTATAGTCATATTTACAAAACTAGAAGTAGAATCTTTAGACATGTGACATTTTTATTTAAATGTACAAATACAGCAACTAAACTAAAATGTTGCAAAGCCTGGCTTTAACAAGAATATAAGAATGCAATAAGTTACACACAGTCACTACGCAAAGCTGTTGTTCACCAAAAAAGTTCCAACTCTGTCTAAAATCCCAATGTAAAAGGACAAACAATTCTTTCATTGTCTTTTCAGTATGGCAGAGTTGGAGAAGGACATCAACAATCTGAGATCTGGCCTAAAAAGCGTTGAGGCAGTGAGTGAATTTTGTATTGTTTTGCTATCTGTTCACTGTTGTCTATGTATGTTCAGTTTCCCAACACCCTTAAATCTATTGTACAGAATAGAATAGGACTATAGGTATGGGAAATATTCACATACCTGCACATCACTTTGCTGCTGCTCCACTCTGATGTTTGTTTGACCATCTTCAGGAGCTGCAGTACCAGCAGGCTCAGACCTGTCAGGGCCCTCTTGATAAGTTTGTCCCTGTGATAAGTCAGTTCATCACTGTGGCCTCCTTCAGCTTCTCTGATGTAGAGGAGTCCCTCAGCGAAGCCAAAGAACTGGTGAGTAGACAAAAGATGCAAATTTTGTCTTGTTGTTTCATCTGGAAAAAACAAATAAGCAGATTTCTCAAATCTCAAAGTACTTTTCCACGGAAATGTGTCGGTATGTTGCCGGTTAATGTTCATGTCGGCCTTCACATTAAGCTGCAATATCAGTTTCTCTCGAGCATGTTGACCAGCCCATATCTCTTTTATGATGGAACTATAGTTTTCACTTACATATAACAAACAAGCATTGCAACTCAAATGTGTCATCTGAAGAGCTCCAGTCATCTCTTTTAGATTCTTGAAGACGTTTCACCTTCATCCAAGAGGCTTCTTCAGTTCCAGTTGACCAATGGGGAGTTTCAGATGTATGAGTGCATCTTAAAAAATTTGAATGTAAAAGTTTAATATTTTCCATCAGTTATTTAAGAAAGTTAATTTTCAATATATTCTACCCACATTTGGAAGACGAGAGACACGGAATCCAAACTGTTTGAAGTCCAGTGGGAAGTTTCTGTCACCTGTGCCATGACTTCTATTGCTGCTGGTCTGCTGTGTTTTATCAAGAGCAGTGTCAACACAGCATCCACCAGGAGATTTTAGAGCACTTTATGTCTCTATCTTCTGACAAGCATTATGGAGATGTTGATTTTATTTTCCACCCGGACTTAGCACCTGACCACGGAGCCAAAACTACTACCAAATGATTTGCTGACCATGATATGACTGTGGGCTGCAAGGTGGTAGCACCGCTGCCTCACAGCTAGAAGGTCGCTGGTTGGCGTCCCGGTGAGGACACCCGGGATCTTCCGTGGAGTCTCCATGTTCTCCCCGTGCAGCGTGGGTTCTCTCCGGGTTCTCCGGCTTCCTCCCACAGTCCACAAACATGCTGAGGTTAATTGGTGATTGTAAATTGTCCGTAGGTGTGAATGTGAGTGTGCTTGGTTGTCTGTCTCTAAGTGTAGCCCTGTGATAGACTGGTTACCTGTCCAGGTGAACCTGCCTTCACCCTGAGTCAGCTGGGATAGGCTCCAGCACTCCCGCAACCCTAGTGAGGATTAAGCGGTGTGTAGATAATGGATGCATGATATTACTGTGCTTGACTGGCCGGCCGACTCCCCTGACCTCAGCAGTGACACCGGCTGATCACCTTCATGCCATGCCGCACTGATGCAGTAATTTGTGGTAAAGGAGCCCCAACCAAGTATGTGTAGAAATGAACATACTTCTCAGAAGTTGGACCTTTCTGCATATAATCCTTTCTTTGAGTGATTTTAGTAAATATTCTAATAATATGAGATACTGGATTTCTGATTGTCATGAGCTAAAGGCTATCATCATCGAAATGATTACAAAAAAGGCTTGAGATATTTCACTTTATGTGTAATGACTGTAAATGAATTAATCCAATCCATTCCATGAATTAAATTACAAAATCAAGATATTCAAATGTTTCAAAATGCACGAGTATATATTCATTCCAGCTCACATGGCTAATGGCAACCTACGCCAACCTGCACACATTCCTCCATATACATCTGAAACTCCCCACCAGTCAGCCAGAACTGAAGAAGCCTCTTAAACGAGAGCTGGAAAATATTCAAGTACCTAAAGGAGAGTTTCTTACTGAAGTTACCATGGCCTGGATGACAGAAAAGCTGCACAGATGCAAATGTGTCATAATTTAGCCTTAAGACAGTGGAAAAGACCAAATGAACACCTTCATCCATCTTGTCTCTTGCTAAAGTTTACAAAAGCACTGAGACACTTTGCAGAAGACTCCCACATGCAGCCGGATGAGTTCTTTGGGATCTTCGACACTTTCCTCAAAGCATTCTCAGAAGCCAAACAGGATAATCAAAACATGGCCAGACGCAAAGAGGAGAAGGAGAGACGGGCACTCATGGAGGCACAGGTGAGCAGATGTTATCAGCTTAGACAAATACAGTGTCTATCAGAACCCATATTGGAAGTTTTCCCCTGTTAATGCTTTTCACCACTGAATCATAGTAAATTTAATTTGCCTTTTTAGACAAGAATTTACAAAAAAAGAGTTTTCATGTCAAAGTATTGTCAATTAATTAAAAATATAAAATAAGACTGCATAAGTAATCACCCCTAATTCAACACAAGTGAAGCTAATTGGAGCCTGAAGTTACACAATTAGAGAAAGTGAGATTATCAAAGTGCAGTGAATGACTCTCAGTGATTGCAGTATAAAGACTCGTGTATCTGGAAGGTCCAGCCACTGGTGGATCAGTGCTGCTGGCTATACTGGTCACTGAATATCTGTTGGAGTACAGCTAAATCCAACATTAATAAATGAGAAAACAAAGAGTCAGAGAGAGCCTAGTGAGGGAGTCCACAACAAGAACAACATCTGACTCCACTGAAGGAGTCTTAAGCTTCAGGGGCCAAGATGGGAGAGACTGTGCATATATCAATGAATGCTTATGTTCTTCATCACTCAGAGCCTTGTAGGAGAACCTCAGCTAGAGCTTACCAGAGGGCATGTAGAAGACTCTGAATTCAACTGGAAGAAGGGTCTTTGGTCTGATTGGACCGCAATTAAGGTTTTTTTCACCATCAGAGAGACGAGACACTATGTTGGTAGCAGCATCATGATGTGAGGATGCTTCTATGCAGCCAAGGACAACATGGTGCAGTGTGCATAAGAATTTGATGCTGCACTTGAAAAGAGCTGTTCACTGTCGATCCCTGTGCAACCTGACGGAACTCAAGTCGCTTTGAATGGAGTAAAATTGCAGTGTCCTGAGGTGCAATGCTGATTGATACCTGTCCACACAGACGCAGTACTGTAACTGTTGCATTTACTAAATAATGACTTGAAGGGTGTGGATACTAAGGTAATTGCCTTTTCATAGCTTTAACTGAAATCACATTGAAAAGAACTTTTTGTAAGATGTAAAAACATTCATTTGAAATTATATGAATGTGTTTGAATTGTTTATTATCAGGTGTTCATCACACAATTGTTAGACTAATGTGAGGTTTTGTCATCGGCTGGATCTGAGAATGCAACTCCAAGTGAGTGATTGGAAACAAGAGGAATTTATTGTGCACAACAGCAGGAAGCCGGGGACACCAGGAAGCTTGTGAGGGTAGCCAAGGGGGTGAGGGAAAATCCTGGGAGTATCCTGGGGGAGCTGGGAGGCGAGACGACAGAGGCTGGTTCTGTAGGCTGAGCTGAGCGGAGACAACGGCAGTCCTTAGGAGAGGTTCTGGCAGGCAAAGACGAGAAACACACGAGACAAAGCAAGGGTTGAGCAAAGCACAAAGTTCTCTGAGTACTGCTGGCTTGTTCCCACTCTGAGGAGTTCAGTCCACTGGCGCTGGAGCTCAGGTGGAAGCAGGCTGACTGTGAACTCTGCGTCTCTAATCAGGAGCGCCCCGCCCAGCCTGAAACACAGTCAGCCACAGCAACCACAAAAACACCAGTCAACCGGTACAAAAACTCAGATCACCACAACTAGTACATCAAGTATTCTAGTATATTCATTTGACAGTTCTAAGAATTACACAATTCCTTAGAGTGGACATCACAGAAATGACCTGCCAACTTTGTTTCCATATGATTCAAACTCTGACAGTCATCCAGTGATCTCATTCATAGATAAATTAAACATTTTAAAAAATAAAGCCTATGTATCCATTCTGTCCAGTCCTGATCTCTCTGTTTGCCTACAGCTGAAGAAAGACAGGGAGCCAAAGGTGAGGAAGACCAAAGCAAGTGAAGAAGAGGAGTGCGGTCAGTTTGATGACTTGGTGTCTGCTCTGCAGTCTGGAGAGGTGTTTGACAAGGATATGTCAAAAATGAACCGCAGAAAGCAGCGTAAACACAACCAGGAGAGACCAGTCACAAAACTAAACCAGTAACATGACACTTCATGGACAGCAGCACCTCTTTGGGACTTCTGTAATCCTGCTGAAACAAATGGATCTCTTGGTAACACTGTTGTAGATGTGGAGTTTTTATTTTCACTTAAATCTACATTTTGGTTCATGGTTTAAGGTGGCATATAAAACATATACTGTACAAGCATATAGAATAGAACAGAATATTTTTATTTTATTGATCCCCATTGGGGGGAATTGACACACCACAGCAGCATCCAAAAATATAGAAAGAAAGTACTAGAAAATAATAATTAGTAATAACAATATTTACATTGAAAAAGAAAACTAGATTGTGCAAATTTGCAGTGCAAAAGTGAATTTGTGACCATGACATGTCAAATTTGTCAATTTGGTCGACATCAGCTGGTGATGCTGATGTTGTCAAGTCTTACTGCAGTTGGTAGGAGTGACCTGCGGGGGCGCTCTTTCTTGCAGAGAGGATGTTTGAGTCTGCTGCTGAAGGAGCTACTTAAAGCCCTCACAGTCTCATGCAGCGGGTGAGAGGATGTGCTGGATGTGAGCTTTGCTAACATCCTCCTCTCACCATCTCCTCTGTGGAGTCCAGGGAGCAGTCTGGGACAGAACCGGCCCTCCTCACCACTCTATTTAGCCTCTGTCTGTCCCTGTCTGTGCTCCCGGCTCTCCAGCAGACCTCTGCATAGAAAAGAGCAAATGCCACCACAGTGTCATGTAATGTCCTGAGTAGAGTCCTGCAAACCCCAAAGGCCCTCAGCCTCCTCAGCAGGTGGAGGTGACTTTGGCCCTTCCTGTACAGGACCTGTGTATTATGTGACCAGTCCAGTTTGTTGTTGAGGTGAACACTCAGGTATCTATACACACACATTACATGCATGTACAAAAACAACAGCTTGTGTGTGTTTTTTTTCTCATCCATGTTTATATTTTGGCCCTTAATCATGTGACGTGACACAATGAAGAATGTTTGGTTAGCTATGTCTAATGCCACTTAGCCATATGCATTGAGTTTTGCTGTCTGGAAAAGGTGAACTGTTTGCCACTTGTGAGGACTTAAAAGGACTTGTTCAACATTTTGGAAGCCAAGACATGCTTAGTGAAATTTAGTATAAAGACAAGGCAAGGCAAGGGGATGCAGCAAGCCTGGCTCTGTCACCACTTAAAAGAACTGAACATTGTCAAACAAGCTTGATAACCCATAAAACACACATTACTTTGAAATCATTGATCTCCCAACCCCCTAACTTTTCAGTTATCAACAGCAGAGCCATCACTTACACGAGGCATAACACACAGTCTGTTTTTCATTCTGCTCCCATCTGGTTGCAGACAGGTCAGGTCGATGAAATAAAGAAATGTCTCGGTAGCAATTTCGTCTTCACTGACATTTTCTTGCATTCCATAGCCCACTCACAATTACACTATGGACCAGTGGCTTTTTTGTCACCATGTACAGTTGAAAACAACAGCTTACACTTGTGTCGGGCCACCTGCCTTCAGCTCTGCTCAGCTTGCAGTCTCTCCTCCTCGTCTCTGCAGGTGTGACTGTGTGTGAAGACACCTGTGCAGGGGGGTGACTCACCTGCCTTCAATCAAGCCCTCCACCCCATAAAACCTGGCTCACATCATCATTCGGCTCTATATCGTAATGTAGTCAACCAGTCAGTTCTACTCTACTGGCCAGTTGTTTTTTTAGCTTGTTGCCAGTCACCAACTTCTCTCTGCTCTGCTTCAATGTCTCAATCAAATCTCCTGCCTTGCCCTCCACACACCTCTCTGAAATTTTCCTCAGATTACTCACTGCCTGTTCAGCTGCCTCTCTGTCAGATTCCCCTCTCTTGTAACAAGCCATCCAGATCACCTGCCTGCTCCGTCTTCTCATGTCACCACTGGAGTCCTCTGTCCACACACGCCGATCGTGCTAATTTCAAAGACTCCTGGCTGCTCCTTGCCAACCCCGATCGGCCAGCAAAGTTTTCACAGCTGGTTTGCCCACTGATAATGTCAAGTCATTCCTTGTGCTTTTCTTAGCATAATGCTAGTAGACCGCCGTGCCTTGTGATACTTAAGTTTGCTTGTGTGTTTACCCTCACGTGCTCACTTCCCTGCTTTCTTTGTTTATCCTTGATCACTGTACAGAGGAGTTTACTGTATGATTTACAGAGATCACTGCATTTTTACACTGATTCTCTGGTCTCATAGTTCATGTCTGTGCTGAGGTTCTTTGTAAAACCATGACTGACAGTCTTGAAGTTCCAGTGACTCCCATAACTACATTTAGAGAAGCTTGCCTGAAGCTTCTGTATGGCTACCAACAGCACATTGTTGATGAAACTAGCCAAGTCACATTTAACCAAATTAGTATTTCTGTGTTTTGACCAGGCAGCTTTTGTCATTTCCAGAAGACAGATAACAGATCTATGAAAACACCAAAGTGCATGATTTTTTTTTCTTTTTAATGGCAGACTCTGGTGTTTCAATAATTTCATTATAGAAAATTCTGAGTTATAGGAGTCACTGGGAACTCAAGACTGCTATAATATACATGGTCTTTAGGAGCGTATATATGCATTTCACAGTATATATCTAGTGATGGGGGTTGTTTGTTTATGACAGTAGAATCTATGTTTTCAAGGCACCCAAAAGCACACTTTAGAAACTTTCCCCCCACTGAGACATTCAATGTATTTATATTTGCTGTCTGGGTCATTCCAGAATTGGAGGACATTTTACATCCCAGCCATGAAATTTCATACAATCCATGTATAAAATCTTAAAGCATGCAGTTTTTGAGTGAATTGTACTAGACCTGAGACCAAATTTAAATAAACTGGGAGAAAATGTTGATTCAAAAATGTTTTTTAAATGCCAAATATGTCTGGAGTAACCCCTAAAAAGCAATTTTTCTCTTGTCCCACCCCTTTGATGGCCAAATTGAATCTCAAATAAAACACTTTTTATATATTTATTATACATTTTGAATTCATTGTCTTTTGTATTATTTTGTTAATAGATGTCTCTTGTGATTGTGGAAACATTTGTTTTAATCAACATAATGACAATAACTTCTAATAACGTGTTTAACTGTAAACTACATTGTATAATTCATCCTACATCCACCCAACCGGTGGAGGCAGATGGCCGTCCCTCCCTGAGCCTGGTTCTGTCGGAGGTTTTTTTTCCCCTGTGGGGGTTTTCGGTTCCTTCCCTCTGTTGTGGACTGCTTGCAGACTGCTGAAGCTTATAGGGAATCCAGATGTTCTGGATTGTTGGGTGTTTCTGTTTCTGCCTTTGTGAAGCGCTATGAGATGACTTGTTGTTGTAAATATGCGCAATACAAATAAAATTGAATTGAATTGAATTGAATAATATTTTAAATATTAATTATTATGCAAGGAATCTGTGTCCCACAACATGCATGCAGCCCTGTTACCTTGACATTTTTAGCATAGCAGAAGAATAAGAAAACAATGAGTCACATGACACAATAGAGTCGACATCATCACACAGCTTCCCAACAGCATGGGGAGAGCAAAGGGATGTCGTCTCTTCTATTTTTCATATTTTTGTAACATTGTCTGCCTTGGCTTGAATGTCTCACTCTACCTTATGCAAATTATCAGGATAAAATTTACTTTAGTAAATTTGTCCTCTTGGTCAGTAGCAACAGCTAGCTAAACAGCTAGTTTCTAGTCATGAGAAAAAGTTAACATTAACATGAATTTACAACCCTGTTTCTGTGATTGGAGTAACAGGGTTGCATCTCCTCCAGTTTACTCAGAATTAACACATTATTATTCATCCATCCAACCATTATCCATACACCGCTTAATCCTCACTAGGGTCTCGGGGGGCTGGACTTCTCTGCAGTGCAGCACTGTCATATTCAGTTCAACCACTAAATGCCTCCTCTTACCCATACTTCAGTATTTAGTTTGGAAAATGTTTTTTAAAAATAGTTATAAAGAAAAAAATCCAGTAGTTTTATATTTATAGATTGTAGATCCACCAAACAGATCACCTGCGTAGCTGCCTCCCATATGAACACTGAACAAGTTTTTTCTAAATATCTGCAATTGTATTTGTTTATTCACTTGCTGTATATAAAAATAAGTAAACAAGGGTCTTCTCTTGATGCAAGTGACTTGTTTATTTGTTGGTTTTATTCAGGAAAAAATACACCATATAAAAATGCACAGGTTTACATTTGTTTGAATTGGATCAGATTACATAGATTTACCATTTAGAAACCTCATTACAAAGGAAATGATGCTACATTGCATTAAATCACAAAAGGGACTGTACACCTTTTCACTAATAGGTTCAGCAGCAGAACAAGTCAGTGCCGGGCCAGGGGCGGCGCACAGAACCTGGCCCTTAAAGCCAATAAAACTTGTGACTACATCGCATTATGAGGTACATATGCCCTCAACAGCGTGGCTTACGAGCAATACGTTTTTGACACACAGCTCAAAACATTTGACAGGAAGGATTCAGCAGCACGGAGAGCAACCATGTCAATCAAAAGGAAACAGACAAACCGAGAAGAGAACAACAACAACAAGACTGCCTGGCCCTAAAAATAACATCAATTCAAAGCAGTTCAGCACCATGGATAACGACCACATCGCACAGCGAACCACTGCACAAGGCCCACTGAGAGCGCAATAGGATACTGTGTGGCAGAACCTCGTTTTGATTGGCAGCATGGCGGCCTTGTGGCCAATCACATGTGAGGATTTAGTGCCACAGCTGAAGACCCACTGAGCTGGTGGCAGGCCAAGGCCTCAGTCTTCCCCCACTGGTGAAGGTGATGGAGGGAAGACTGTGTATTGTGGCAACATCTGTTCCCTCTGAGAGTCTTCTCAAAAATAGGGCAGATAACAGAGAGGAGCCCATCCAAGCTAAGACATTACATTTTGCTGAATGCAAACCTGCAGCCATATAGAGAATTTATAATTCTTTTTATTTGGAAAACTCAAGCATTTGCATTTGTCTTTTTCAAAACACTTCTTAATAACGATTGTCATATGCGTAGAGAAATATACACTACGCTGTGTAATTTTACAACTTCGGTCATTATTGTCACCATGGTGATGTTGGTGTGAATGGACGCAGCGCCCCCTTCAGAAGACAGCCAGAGAGAACGTTTTGAGTGTCTTGTCTGTCCCAAACGTTCATTGCAGCCAGGAGACTTTGCTGGGCGCCAGGACAGTGAACGGCGCTGGAACTGTGGCGATTGGTTGTGATGTGGACATGCTACACCAACACGGAGTCCGATCAGAGACTACGTCGGCAGTTACCCGAGAGAGAAGGAACTGTGACAAGTGTAAATAAAGGAGGAGGAAGAGAGCCTGGATCCATGCTAGGCTAAAGGCTAACCCCTCCAGACCACCTGCTCTCCAATGTCCACTCCCTCCACAAGAAGCTGGACGAGCTATGTTCGCTGAGAGAAACCCGCAGAGGGTGGAGGGACTGCTGTGTGTCTGCTTTAACAGGAACATG